AACGACAACAGATCTCTCTCTCTCTCTCTCTCTCTCTCTCTCACACACACACACACACACACACACACACACACACACACAAGATCAATGTATAGAGGGGGAAGAAAAAAGAAAAAAACGAAAACAGATCACCCTCTCTCTCTCTCTCTCTCAATGTATGGACGGGGAAGGAAAAAAAGAAAAACAGATCTCTCTCTCTCTCTCTCTCTCTCTCTCTCTCTCTCTCTCCAAGGAATCGTCTTTGCCGCGCGGAGAGAAGATAGCGGGCGGGGCGGGTGAAGACCGAGCGGAGGTGGGCGGAGGTAGAGGACGGTAGGAGTTGGACAGGGGGTGGGCCACCACCCGAGGGGAGGTGGGGAGAGGAGAATTGGCCGAGGTGGAGAGGAGATGGCGGGAGGAGGCGGAGAGGAGAGCGGGCGAAGGCGGACCTGTGGATGGAGGCATACGGCAGAGGCCGAGGGGACGTGGACAGAGGTACCGGGCGGGGGCCTTGTGGACGTGGGTGGAGGTAGAGGGCGGAGGAGGTGGGCAGAGGCAGACAGGAGGGCAGCGGAGGCCGACGGGAGGTTGGCGCGCACAGCGGGATGTGCCGAGGGGAGGTGGACAGAGGTACCGGGCGGGGGCCTTGTGGACGTGGGTGGAGGTAGAGGGCAGAGGAGGTGGGCAGAGGCGGACAGGAGGGCAGCGGAGGCCGACGGGAGGTTGGCGCGCACAGCGGGATGTGCAGTGGGATGTTGGGAGGAGGCGGACGCGAGGTGGGCGGAGGGCAAGAGAGATGGAAGATCCCAATGGCGGAAGGGAGGGTTGGCGTGCACAGCGGGATGGCGGGACGAGGCGGACGCGAGGTGGGGGGAAGGCAAGGGGAGATGGGAGATCCCAACGGAGGTGGGCGGAGGCTGACAGGAGGTCGTCAGAGGCGGTCAGGAGGTCGTCAGAGGCGGTCAGGAGGTCGTCGGAGGGCGAGGGGAGGTGGGCGCGCACTGTTAAAAAAGAAAAAAAGAAGAAAAAAAGGGCGGCCAATGGGATGTCCAGCGGGAGCCCAGAGCGGAGGTGAGCGGAGGAGGAGGAGAAGTGGCGGAGGCCAAGCGGAAAGAGAGAGAGGACATGGCCAGAGGAGGCGGACGGGAGG